TCTTTTTTTTTTTTTTAAGACTGTATTTATTTATTTGAGAGAGTATGAACATGCAGGTGAGGGTAAGGGCAGAGGGAGAGGGAGAAGCAAGCAGACTCCTTGCTGAGCAGGGAGGGCACAAGGCTTGGTCCCAGGACCCCGAGATCATGACCTGAGCGGAAGGGAGATGCTTAACTGACTGAGCCACCAAGGCGCCCCACTTACTCTTTATTTATATTTGACTCTTTGATAAGATGTTTGCAAAAGGCCTCAGAAGAGTTAAATCATTTGGTAATGAAATACTATTTCATGATTCCCATTGATGGAACCACAGATCTGACATTTTTGCACTTTTGTCTATTTCATTTAATGGTACCATCACCTTCCCACCAACCTTGAAATCCTGAGATCTCAGAGTGGGACTCATCCCCTCCTGTTCCCTTTCTCTGACATCTGATGGGGGTGCTAAGCCTTGCAAATTCTTAACTTGTTTCCCCCCTGTGACTTCAACCTTAGGTTCAGCCCCAATCTGTCTTAGACTTGTGTAATTGTAGTGGCTTCCTTCCTTCTCTTTCGCTCGCTACTGCTGTGCCTTTGGATAAGTGTCTAGTTCCTTGTGCATTAAATGGGGCTGGAAAGAGTGACACACAGGATACCACATAGAGAATGCTTAGACTAGTACATAGCACACAGTTGGTACAACACAAGTTAGCTATGAATATTCTTCCCTCCACCTTTGCCAGATGCTCTATCCCCGAACACTCCTCTGATTAGGCCCCACTCCTGCTCCCCGTCTGCAGTCTCCCCATGGTCTAGTTAGCAGCAATTCCCAAAGTGAGCATGAGTTGAATTGCCAGGGTATGGAGGGAACAAATTATGACTCCTTTTATGTGTTTTTATCTCATTTTTAAAAATTTTCTACTTTGTGAGTATATTTTACAGTGTATGCTTTTTTTTTTTTTTTTAGATTTGATTTATTCATTCATGAGAGACACACTCACACACAGAGAGAGAGAGGCAGAGGGAGAAGCAGGCTCCATGCAGGGAGCCTGACTTGGGACTCGATCCTGGTACCCCAGGATCAGGCCCTGAGCTGAAGACGGCGCTAAGCTGCTGAGCCACCTGGGCTGCCCTACAGTGTATACTTTCAAATAAGGATATATTTATAATTCGTATATAACATCTACTTTAATAAATAGATGAATATATATGTATATACAGGTGTATATGTGTGTGTGTATATATATATAGGGTGTGTGTATGTTTGTCAATTTTTTATATATACATCAATTTTTATATAAAAAATATTTTACTAATGAGAGTGCAAGCCAGCAAGTTTGGACTGGTTTGGAAGGTGAGATCCAGACCCTGAGCCTGACATTTCCCTGTGGTAACCCCAGCCTGCAGTCCTGACTCGTCTTGCAGTCCCTCTTCCTCATGACCTTCGCTGTCTTCTTGTGCCTTTTGGTTTCTGTCATCGTTCATCCCCTCTTCCCACTCCTAGAACGTTTTCCCTCATCCTTGCATTTTCTTTTCCTTTCTAGAAGTTCACCTGAAATATCCCTTGTTCCATCAAGCCTGCCGGGACAGTTCCATCTTGAAATCCTCCAGGTTCCTTAGGCATGCTCGGTCCGTGCTACTCACTTGGTGCCTGTTGTTTTCTGTGTTGTGTTGGGTTCTTTTGCCACCTATACTTACCATCTTGGCTCCATAGTGATTTGATGTCAATTTGCACATGGACGTGCCTTGAAATAATATTTCATTTGCTGACTTTATTTTGTACCGTTGGTCCTTTTTCTCATTTATCTGAAGATACCTACCTACAGTTTTTGGATGACATTAATGTATGTATCTTTTATCACTGTAATATGTAATTCTTGACTATGGAAAAAAATTCATTTGTTACATTCGTGCCCTGAATCTCCTTGGATTTGACAGCATGCTTCTGCTGGAGACGTATTTTTGTCTACAGTGCATGAGTGAACATTTTTTGTATGCGGAGTCATTGTTTTCTTTTTTACTTCAGGTGACCTAAAATCATCATCCTTGTGTTAAATGCCTTTATTTCAGCACTTATCGTCCTGTGTTTTGTAAGGCTCCCTGGGAAGTGAGCTGGTACACAGAACATACCTGTTTGATCTGGGCTTTCCCCTTCCTCAAACACTATAAAAATTGAGAGTAGCTGGGCAGTCATTGAAGCTACCAGTGATCTTGGAGTCAGAAAACGAAGGTTTTAATCTTGATTCTACCATCTACTGGTTGTTGGGTTTTGACCAAGTCCTCTAACTTCATCTGTGAAATAAGTGTAGTAATCTATGCTATGTGGAATTAGTTTGAGGATTAACTGAGATAGTGGCTCTGAATATGCTGGGCACCTAGGAAGTGGTAGAGAAGTGTTTAAAAGAAGAGGAAAAGTAAGAAGCTCCTTTGTCTTCTATGAGCCTTCTGATGCAGGGTATATTTGGGGGACAAACAGATAGCTTCGGAGAGTGCACCTACCTGATTGAGCAAACTTAGGCTGGGGAATGAAGGCTGGACATCTAGTCAGCCTGGTTTTTGGGCTTGTCTCTAATAGAATATCTGTGGCCTCCTCAGGGAACATGAGAATTAATTAGTTAATCTTTGTAAAGTGCTTTGAAGGTGAAAAGTGCTATGTAAGTAGAATGGCTGAATTGTTATTGGAGATGGAATCATGGCGGCACCATATCCTGGCAGTCTTGCCTGCCTTGGACATCAATAATCAATAGGAGAGAAGATTCTAAGATGTTTTACTTGATGAGAAAGGATTCATTGTGGGATTTATGTTAACAGTTCTTTGATAGTCTTGGAGATAGCAACTTGCCAGTTCTTTCCAGTGGAAGGATGCTAGGGTTGGTTAAGGAGTGACAGTCTCATCCTCCACCTGCTTGGGACTCTCCCTTCTAAGGCAGTCTGGTTATAAATCCTACCCAGCTCAAGTAAAAGGATAGTTTGCCAGTTTTGGATGCTTTGTGGGCCTTGGGCACGTGAGCTTTTTTGTGGGCCTACAGAAGTTAGAGAAGAGTGTTGAGTGTTGGTTATCCATTGACGCAGACCCTGTGTGAATAACCAATACAGGATGGTACCATGAGCTCATAGATGGAGATATGGCTTAGCTTTGTGACCCTGGGCTGGTCACTTCTCTGAACCTTCTCTCCCATTAAATGGGAACATAGTAGTTGATGAGTACAGTAATAAAGGTGGCCAATAGGAGGGTGGGAGTTTCCACCCTTTCTGTGAGGGATTGAGGGGTTAAGAAAGGTTTCATAGAACTGGTGGTACATGAGCTGGACTCTATAGGTGGAGTCGTAGTTTATCAAATGAATAATGTAAGCAAAAGGCATCCATGGCAGAAGGAACGAAACATGTGAGGCCATGAAATAGCACATCTAAGTGGACCCACTTTCAGTTCCTGTCGTATACCTGATACCCCACGGGCTGCACACACCTTGTTCCCTCTTTGAGGAAGCTCAAAACTTCTTGTGAACTTCTTGGTATCTAAGTCGTGTCCATGAGTAAATTGATCCTGAGAACTATATCCCTTCAATATTCTGACATTTCCCCCATGAGTCTGTGGTTGTGCTGTAGCTGACACTATAAACCATATGTTGATGGGGGGCCAGATGAAGCTTTGATACTAAACACAGTAGTATCATAGTAGTAGATTTGTCTAGAATTTAATATGCATTGCTTGGTGTTTTGTCTCTTAAGCAGAGTTTTTCTTTGTTAAAATAAATATGTATAAAGAATTTATACAGCGCACATGGTTATGCATATTTATTGCAGAGAATCTGTTAATAATCTATGTCTCATCGGATTTTGCATTTCTGTTGAAATAACAAATGTGGCACTTGGTACAACTAAACGAGTTTGGTGAATTTTTTCTTATCTGGGAGAAGAAAGGCATTTCTCTTTTTCCAAATTCCATTTTCTTCAATCATCTTCTGCACTGGCCAGCTTCCCAGGTGGTGCATCTGGGGGACTGAGGCTTTCCTGGCTGTAAACGATTTTGTCTTTTTTCCCTTCTCTCACTCCCTTCCTTCTACTACACATAGACATTGGCCTTGGGACTATGAGAATTGCTCCTTTGGGTAAGAGCATAGGCTCTGAAGGTCATCTTATGGAGAGAATACACATGAAACTGGCTAAGCGTAAGGTGCTAAGAAACTGTGACAGGAGGCAAGGCAGGGGGAGCCTAGGGGACTTCAAGGTGGCTGATGGCCTGAATATAGACACCTGGGCAAAGCTCAGGAAGTGGTGAGGAGGGGATCCCTGGGTGGCTCAGTGGTTTAGCGCCTGCCTTCGGCCCAGGGCGTGATCCTGGAGTCTTGGGATCGAGTCCCATGTCGGGCTCCCTGCGTGGACCCTGCTTCTCCCTCTGCCTGTGTCTCTGCCTCTCTCTCTCCATGTCTCTCATGAATAAATAAATAAAATCTGTAAAAAAAAAAAAAGTGGTGAGGAGGCCATAAAGTGTGGTCAGAGAGTTCCCTGTAGCCCTGTCCCTGTGTGTTAAGATGCAGACATGCAGGCTTTAGAATCTGCCTCTGTGGGGCACTTGGGTGGCTCAGTCGGTTAACCATCTGCCTTTGGCTCAGGTCATGATCCTGGGGTCCTGGGATGGAGCCCAGCATCAGGCTCCCTGTTCAATGTAGAGTCTGTTTTGCTCTCTCCCTCTACCCCTCCCCCTGCTCATGCTCTGTCTCTCTCTCTAAATAAATAAATAAAATCTTAAAAAAAAAAAAAAGAATTTGCCTCTGCTGGAATCCAGCTCTGGTGCTCACCTCTTGTTTGATCTTGTCATGCCATTTTATCCCTCCAAACATCAGTCCCCTCATCTGTGGAGTGTGGCTAGCTGTGCTCTCCCTACAGGAAGATAGGATGGCTCCTGGTACATGGTAGTTGGTACTAAAATAAGCGTTCATGCTTCCTCTTCTCATTCATTGCCTGCGCATGAGAGCATAGCTGTGCAACATAGTCTTAATTCAACTAATGTTTGTTTTTAGAAACTGGCAAGGTGTTTACCTGGGGCCGAGCAGACTATGGTCAACTAGGGCGGCAGTTGGAGTCTCATGAAGACTGGAAAGCACGAAATCAGGATTCATCCTTCCCCTGCTCAGGACCTCAGAAGAGCATGCCTTCCTCTCTGCATTGCTTAACAGGAGCAGCTGAGGTAGGAAGTGACTTTCCATAGAAGTGATGCATCTCTTTGTCTCGCTTTGCATTGAAGCGTTTATTGAGGGCCTACTGGGTGCTTCTAGTGAGGGCGTCATGGTAGGATCCACGTTGGACCCTGAAGGGGTCCTTGCCTCATGTTGCTTGGGTTTCAGTATGGTAGAAAAGGGAGGTACCTGGATAACTGTACTGCAAGGCAGACTGTGTGTAACTCCTTTAGAGACATTCCCAGTACTCCAGGTCTGCTTCAAAGAGTGAGACATGCATTCAGGCTCTGGGGATTGGGTTAGGCCAGAGTCATGGAGGACATGGTGCTGAGCTGTGCCTTGGAGGATGGGTCAGACTCAAGCAAGCAGCTATAAGAGAGAAGAGGACTTTCAGGTAGGCACAACAACAGAGTCACAGGGGCAGGAAAATGAAGAAGCTGTTTGGGGGACCGCTGGTGGTTCAGTTTGGCTAGAGCATGAGGAATCTGCAGGGGCGAATGTGAGGTATTATCAGAAAGATGGGTTAGAACCTGATCAAGGGGGCCTTTATCCTGAGCTAAGTATTCGGCACTTCTGTTTATATTTCCCAGGGTAGAAAATACTGTAGTTCAGTTCCTTATTCGAGCCCCTTTAATTCCCTGAAATGTCTTGAATTTCTACATTTAAAGCAGGAGTCTTAATTTCTCCAGGGTGTGTATTTCTGTTACTAAATTTTACTTTACTGCTATCCTTAAAAAAAGAAAAGGCTAGGTTTTTGAGAAGAATGAGGATGGCCACGTAGGAAATGTGCCTCTGAACCCAAGTTGGCTTAATGAAGGAATTCAGTTTTCATTCAGAGTTTGTCAAAAAAAATTAATAAGCTAGTGAGACTTCTGTAATTAGCATCAGACTAATTACAACCCTCTTCATACCTAGAGGGCTTCCCTTCCCCCGGGGCCTGCCTGGCCTCCTCCTTCCGGCTATGTAGGACGCTTCTCAATTTCTGCTGCACATCCCAGACCTGCTCCTCCTGGGCCTTTCCTTAGTGCTGAGGTTAAATCTGTCTGTCTTTCTCACTCTCTTTTTTTAATCAAAATGGCACTCATTAAACAAAACCACAAAGGCAATTTAGAGATGGTAATAATAATAATAATAATGATGATGATACCATCCCTAATCTTAATCACCCTAACAAGTGCATCCCTTTTTGTATACACACATGTACATACTTTACAAAGTTACAGTGATAGCATTTAGTCTTCATTTATTTAGTCTTCATGTATTTTATCACCAATGCTTTGCTTTATTTCTTCCTAATCTCTAAGGTCATTTAAAATGGACTATATAGGATCCCTGGGTGGCTCAGCGGTTTAGCGCCTGCTTTTGGCCCAGGGCGCAATCCTGGAGTCCCGGGATCGAGTCCCATGTCGGGCTCCCGGCATGGAGCCTGCTTCTCCCTCCTCCTGTGTCTCTGCCTCTCTCTCTCTCTCTCTCTCTCTGTCTATCATAAATAAATAAAATAAATAAATCTTTAAAAAAATAAAAATAAAATGGACTATATAACATATATGAGTCCAAGGTTCTGGGATTTTCCAAACCATTCTTTGATTGTTGGACATTTATATCATTTCCTCTTTTTTGTCAGTATGGTGGACTCTGCAGCGAACACCCTTTTGAACTGTTTCTTTAAGAAACAGTCTGGGGGATAAAATTGAAGGGGCAAAGGCTGTGAACATCTTTATGACTTTTGCTGTGTTTCTCAAGGTTCTGTTTGAAAGAAGTTGACTCCCCCAGCAGTGAATGGAGGAATGCACTATTTTAGCTGGTATTGTCTGCTTTGCCAGTGCAGGTGCTGAGAGCTTGGTACCAAGTGCTTTAGACCCTTTACTTTTCTTTGTCTTTCTCAGAACATTTAAGACTTTGTGGTCTGGAAGCATAGCAGAGGCCCAGAGGCTTCATGGATCTCTCTGAGTCTCTGATTTCATTGGCAAGATGAGGATCCTACTGCCTCCCACAAAAGGTCATCAGTGAGGATTACACACAGGGTTCTTGGCATGGGGCAGACACTCAGGAACTGTTGGGTCCTTTCTCTTCTTTGCCTTTTCACATCCTGTGGTGGCCGTCGTGTGTAGCACTGTGACAGATGAGGCCAATCACACATATAGCCTAAGTTGCTGACAGTAATGTGACTTTTGTTTAGCTTCTAAGAAGGGCAGTCTGGGGAGTTGGCTTGAGCTCTGAGCCTCGGGCAGCTTCATTTTATGGTGTCTCCATCTCTGCTCTCTAGTCTCTAGGGTGCTGGTATGTATACTTGCCAGTCTCACTGCAGGTTCAGACCCCAGGCTATCTCCTTTCGGTACATTTGGTCTGGGAATTATCCATGCTGTCAATGTCCAGATCTGACCTATCAGGCATCTATTTGCCTGAGGCCCAGAGCTGGGCTAGTGGGCAGCTCTAAGCTGCTAGGAGTGAATGCACCTTGGGAAAGATAAAAACCATACCAAACTAGGTGTTGCCCTGAGCGGGGCTTGGCCAGGGACATCCAGGGACACCTGTGGAGGCAGGATTAGCCTAGAAGTAAGCTAATGATTGCTGACCTTCAAGGAAGTGAGTGTGGCCTGTAGCTGAGCAGTTGCCTTCTTCTCTGTCCAAAGGATAAACGGAGTGCGGAGCAAGGTGTCTGGGCTGGGATCCAGAGTGACAGCCACATGGGAGGGGAAAGCACAGGTGGTACAACCATTCCTTTTTGTGAACAAAACAAAGCAAATTAACACAATGTTACTTGGTGGTTATTGTGGGCCAGGCAGCATACTGAAAACTTTACGTGTATTATTTCATCTTCCCAATAAAACTGGTACAAGTGTCATAATTGCTGCTTTATGAATAAGGAGACTCAGGCTCAGGATGGGTAAGTCACAGGCCCCAGATCACACAGAAGGGAAACACTGGGACTGGGACTTGACCTTGAAGTATTTGAAGCTCACATGCTTTCTGTGTAGATGAAGTTGCATCTGTCCTTATGCATATGTATCCACACCTGGATAAAAGTTCTGGGAGTCTGGAAGGCAGAGTCTCTGATTCCCAGAGAGTCTCAATTCTACCTTCTGAGCCGTGTCTCATCTCTAGCCTGAGAAAGACCTTGAGACTGTAGACCCGGCAGGCCTTTTAGGCCTTTTTTTCATGTTCTTATGGTGGTGAAGACTATGTGTTTCTTGCTCTATCAACTTGGCCTTAGATACTCGACTCACCTAGTCACTCTTGGAAAATTCCAGGTATAGCAGAGTCATCAGGACTAACCCGCCCCATGTACGCATCAGGGCAGAGTGTGTGTGAACCACAGCAGCTTCCCTGGCCCCGGCTGGTGGTGCCACCTGCACATTTCCCATGGAACCTTGGCTCTAAACTCTGCTTAAAGGTGGAAGCCCGTGTTTCACAGTTGGGCAGAAGTGCTTGTGCTCATTTAGTGAGTCCACTGGGGCTCCCCAGGATTCAGTAGCAGCTAGAGCTGGGCATCCAGTGTGTTCCTGGAATGATCGGAAGACCTGCTTGACCAAGGGCAAACAGCCTCTGAGGGGGCAAGGTCCGGACTGGGGTCAGAAGACCTGGCTTCTAGCTTTGCTTCTCCTGGGATTGAGTGAATTTGGGCAAGCCCCCTTTCCTCCTATACCCTCAGTTCTCCCATATGTGGGTGGGGGATGTTAGACCAGGTGATTCCTGAGGTTTCTTACAGATCTAAGAGTCCTTCCATATCTGATTTGTATTTTATGGAAATGATCACTACTTAAATTCATAATGACTCCTGCCCCTGGAGTCCCTCAGGGTCATAGCCAATATCACTTGACCCCTAGCTGCTGGTTCAACCGTGGCAGACCTGGGCATTTTAACTAATCCAGAGGTTCTAGGCTGTAGTACCACTTGAGCCTTGCTCTGCCTCTTTGCCTTGGCTCTGTTCTCTGCCCTTGTTCCTTGTCCCCAGGGCCTCCTGTTCCAGTTTAGGTCACTGGGATTTAGTATGATGCTGCCGTCTGGTCCCCCCAGGACTTGCAGTTCAGCTTTGATTCCTGTCCCTGTGGCTGTGACCTTATTGCCAGGGGCAGGCGGACCTCTGTGACACTACTTTCTGGGTTCCCCACCTGCCACCCCCTCTGCGGGCTTTGTGTGTGCTGTCCCACCTTTCCTGCTTTCTTGAGTTTACCTCCTCCTTGGCTTTGGGATCTTGCCTATTTCGTAGTCAACCCAGTAAACATTGGTTGACACCTGCCACATACCTGCATTGACCGCATGGTGGTGGTGGGTGGGGAGGTGGATTCAGAGATAAATACATGTCTGTGCCCTCAAAGAACTTCAGGTTTGTAAGTAAATCCTTACTGTACAGAGTAGATGTGCTATTAGTGGTGTGTACGGAAGGCCCGGGGAAGTGGGAAGATGGGGATGATTTATGCTGAAGACACCAATGAACAGAAATGTTGTTTGAACTGGGTTCTTAGAAATGAGGAGGAGTTTGGCAAAGGGAGAAGGACATTCCAGGCAGAAGGGACAACATGAACTGAAGCCATGAGTCTAGATCTGTTCCACCTCCTGGGCCGGTCAGAATGCCTGCCCATTCCAGTGGGCCAGCGTCACTTTGAGGTCTAGCTGCCTGTCTTGCCTGTCCCGTCACTGCCATCCATCTTTCTGATAGGGTTACTGTCTGAAGGAAAATAACTTCCACGTACCTTATCTCATTTGCTCCCAGCGTGATGCTGTGAAATAGGCCAGACTTGGAGTGATTATCCTCCTCTCACAGTTGAGGAAACTGAGGCCCAGAGAGTCTAGCTGGGAATTAGGAGAAGGCCCGAGACAAACAAGCCTGATTCCCAGCGTTTCTGAGGGCCTCGCTGTGGGCTCAGTCTGCAGCCAGGGTCCTGAGTCATGTTCCTGGTTTAAATTCTGCCCACGTTTGGTTGAGGAGCCCCAAATCCCAGTCAGGGAGCTCAGTGCACATGTGCACACGTGTGCACACACACACGTAGCCCTTGGAGCAGGAGAGGCA